TTGGCCTTACATTTGTTATTATTTGAGAATAAAAAAAGGAACATTCAAATGCAGTTTCGGATTCAATTTAAGGCTCTAGTGATGCGCACGACTACATAGAACCAACATAATCACTGAAATCACAAAAGCAATACAACTGATACAACTAACCTTCTGCCACTGCAAGGGCACACACGACCGCCATCAGCAAAACACAGAAAGTTGGTTGAGAATTCATTTTGTATCCCTGAGTTGTGCTGCTTTTTTCCCCTCTTTGCATGAGCAGGTATGATTATATCCTCGATTTCTAAACCTCTGCCTGAGCGATGTCCTTTAGACTCCTTTATCAGCTCTGCGGGTTTTATGGGCTGGGTGTGTGACGCTCTCTCACTGACAGCAAATGTACAGTTTCAGTCATAAAACAAGAAAATGACCATGCTGGGTGTGTCACAGTATCCTTTGACTACTGCAGGTTAATCACTTACAACACACACTCTGATTCCGCTTTTTCAGCCAAGATTCAAAGGTTAGGATTGCTTTTGTAGAGTATTTGTGCGTTATTGTGTGAGGGTTCTATTAGACTGTATCTCTTCATTTCCAAATAGAAGTGAACATTTTTTTAATTATTGCTTACTTACTTAGACTGGACCTTTGCTAGCATCAAAATACTTTGTTACATCGAAACTGGCCTGGTTCTGATGAGCACAGACTTCATTTCTTAAGCTCACTTCTAAACCGTGCTGTTAATGAAGCCATAAAAGTCCGAGAGACACACCCATAGTTGCCCAACAGAAACCGACACTAAAACTGTGACACATGTTGTAACTTATCTATCAAAACGATGAAGCGTCACCGACCTACCGATTCCTAACATCTAGGAAAACCCGAAGGTCCCTCCTCTGATTATCTTAAGCCAAATAAGGCCAAGTTTCTACCTCACTGAGTGATCAACAGTCACAGATGTGAAAAACAATACTGATTACTGGAGAATTCTAATACCAATGTTTTCATAATTTCTGCATAATTCAATGGTTGAGATGCAAACAGTCATTCAAAGTTTGATTTGACATGGTTAATTGCAGAGAAACCCCCTGACTCTAATTACAGTGGTGGTGATAGGAACCAGGGGTCGCAATGTCTACAGCACAAATATAGCCATTTTATTTACTATCCAAAATAATTAGTGAACCTACGTCCATTTTTATATGTAACATTGATGATGGTAAAATAGTGGTAAATGCAAAAACATGTTTTTTGGGGACTATTTTGCTTCACAATGCCCAGCATGTACCTCTCAGCCATTAATGTATTCATAACAATTTCATATAATATTTTTTCTATGAGTCAAAGTCTAGACTGTTAACAATTCAATTAACATTTTGCAAAAAGATGAAACTGCCCTTTAAGGACCAGACACTACAGCAGCATTAGGCCAAAGCAAATTAAACTGACTATTTTTGGCTGATTTACAGGGTAAAAGGGGGCTAACAAAGTATGCAGAGTCTACAGTCTGTAACTGCCTATACGGTAAATGGAGCTGATAAAATGGACAGTGAGTGTAAAAACAATGAGGTGGTTTTAGTGGTTACTTTAATGCAGATGTTGCAGTGCATTTCACATCAGACCACTCTGAACGACTTTACATCTTAACATTTTAATTATGCACAACTTTTTTTAAAAATCAGTGGAATTCTCCTTTAAGCAGCTAAACATTTCTGCTAACTGATAATATTGGCAGATATAATTTAATATGGTCACAAACTGAACACACTATTGTTTTAGTTAATTCATTTATTGTAATGAAACTTACCAACTCAAATTTCTTTAGAGTGGTGGTGATAGGAACCAGGGGTCTACAACACAAATACGGCCATTTTATATACTATCCAAAACCACCAGTGAAACTACACGTCTCCTGAGTTTATATATGTAATGTTGATGATGGTAAACTAGTCATAAATCTGAAAAAGGTTTTCTTTGGGGACTGTTTTGCCGTACAACGCCCCGTGTACATGAACCCCTCCACCATGAATACATTAAAATGCACTTTAAGCCAAAAATCTTTTCAAGGCAAACAAAATTTGTCACACAACTATCATAAAACAATGTGTCAGACATCAGGCAGCATGTATCCAATGTTTTCAGAGGCACTGAACTCTTCCTATCACCACCACTGTGAACAATTCTGACTCAGCAAGTTTCTCTAGACTGAAGCATTTCACATCAAATGACTTTTAATGACTTTGTTTACATCGTAACCATTTAATTACACAGAAATTTTGGGAAGTAAGATGGAATTCCCCTTCAAGGACCAGACACTACGGCAGCATTACATGAACGAAAATTAAACTGGCCGGTTTCCCAGATCCTGATTAAGCTAAATAGGACTAAATAGGATTTTAATGGAATTTTAATGGGACTAGTTTTATCCATGTCCAAGGAACCTGTCCAAATTAACTTTTTAAATGCAGTATAACAAAATAATTAATAACATTAATAATATTTAAAGCATTAATATTTGAGTACAGTACTGATATCGCTTGTGACATATATTAGTACAGTCTCTATTCTGAGCTTATTAGGAGAGACTGAGTGCAGCATTCTGCTGTTGTTTTATCGCCCTCCAGTGGTGCATGGAGGAAATACATGGAAGGATCTGGATGCTGCAAATGAGATCAGTCCCCTGTGAGGACTATGAAGATACATCCAATATTCACATACGCTTATTGTTAGGTGTAGCATCGCTTTCACAGATGGTATTGAACATTCAACTGGGTTGGCAATCGGGAGCGCCCTCTAGCGTTAAAAAACCAGAAGACATTACAGGAGCGAGTCCAAAATAAATGGGTTAAGATGGAGCATTTGAGCAAAATCATAGTTTATAAATGCCATTTTAATGTAAAAGAATACAATAATTTCACTGGATAGCATAAAACTTTTAACAGTGCTGTTATATATTTTTAAAGGTTTTAAACTCAAGTTGTAGAAGTTTAAAATGGCGCCTCATATACGTCCATGACGTCAGTGAGGACTAACAGCCAATGAGCTGCTCCGCTCGCCAACCAATTAGCACTCAGTAGCAGTAATGCTAACCAATCAGCATGCAGTAGCAGGAATGCTAGCGTTCTGCTGCCAAAAACCCGTTTGCTATAGAAAAAGGAAATATATAGGTAAGTTTTCTTTGCTTTTTTTAGTGAAATACATCCTTCTACTTTCTAGGTAAAGTTCTGGTAAAGTGTTTAGAAACTATTTTACATTTTTGTTTTTAGCCGTACCCAGAAGGATACGCGGCTTAGAATATGTGTGTGTGTGTTTAGCCGTTGAGCCAGAGCTGGTTTATGAGGAGCCTGGCCACTTCCTATTTCCCCCGTTATATCAAAAACAGGACTTCTAAACAGCAGAGGGCGCCCGTGAGGGAATCCTCAATGAATGGGAGTAAATGGTGCTCAACGGCTAAAAACGAAAAGTTAAAATAGTTTCTAACCACTTACACAGAACGTTTCTTTAATTTTAGAAAGTAGAAGGATGTATTTCACTAAAAAAACAAAGAAATCTTACCTATATATTTCATTTTTTCTACAGCAAACGGGTTTTGGGCAGCAGAAGGCAGGCATTACTGCTAGTGTGTGCTGATTGATTGGCAAACGGAGCAGCTCATTGGCTGTTCGCGCTCACTGACTTCATGAACATAGATGAGGTGCCATTATAAACTCCTACAACTCGAGTTTAAAAGCTCTTAAAAATATAACAGCAGTGTTAAAATGTTTTATGCTATTCAGTGTTCAGGAAATGAATGTTTTCTTTTACATTAAAAATGTTTAATCATTTATAAACTATGATTTTGCTCAAATGCTCCATATCAACCCATTCATTTTTGACTCGCTCAGGAGCGCCCTCTAGCGTTTAAGAAACCCAGAAGACATTGCAGAGTGGTAATTCTCACCTCTACAACTTCTCTGGTTGAGCTTCCTTTACTACCATTCATTGCGGACTCGCTCACAGGCGCCCTCTGGTTGTTTTCAGCCATGTTTTTGATATAAAGGGGGAAAAGGAAGTGGCCAGGCTCCTCCTAAGCCGGCTCTGGTTATACATTAACTCCAATGTGTAAGATTGTTAAAACTGTCTGAACGATCAGCAGAGCTTTATTTTACTGCAAAGGAGGATTATTTTATTTTTACCTAAAAATCTAATTCTGTGGAGCTCCAACAAGGCAGTAAAAAAGCTGCATGCGGCACCAGACCCGCATGGTGCCGACCCTGGTTTAAGAAAACGAACATCAAGGACATAATTTGCGTATCATGTTCATGTATCATTCATTTCCCAAAAACATGAGGCAGTGGTAGGTGATACTGCAAAAAATAAAACCATACTTCAAGACATTTACACGATACATAACACGTATCACAATAGTTTGTTTTGTTTTGTTTTATAAGTGGAAACCAGCAAAAATAATCAGTGCCACATTTTAAGAATTCTATAAAAAACTAAATGCAATGATTTTTGTTTAACGCCTCACATACTATATTGTGAGAAATCCAATCAAAACAGGCCTAATTATGCTCTCTTTGTAATGAAACATTCAGTCGGTCAGAGTTCTTTAAGTACTTACGATGTGTATGATATACTCAGACAAATATTGTCAACATGACATAATTTATCATGGTAATGCTAAATATCGTCATATTGCCCACTCCTGACCTGGTAGCTGTTTCTCAGCCGCAAGCTTTCTCAGTAAATCAGGTAACCTAAGCTATCAGTGAGGATTGTCTAATAGGGATCTCCCTGAACTCCTGTCTCCTGTTGAAGAGCCTTTAGACTTCTGAGAATACCGTCCTTGGTCATTAGGTGTTGAAGTCTGAGAACTGCTCTTTGGCAACAAAAGGAAGTGAAGGGCTCTCTCAGGACTGCTTTTCACCTGAGACCCAACAGTGTTCTCATAGTCACTGAATGTTTTGCAAACTGCAGGAAAACAGCGGCAGACTGGGAGCAAAGCACAGCGGAAAAAAAGACTCTCTCAGGGATATATCACAGTGCTTTAATGAAACGCTGGGGACGCTAAATGACTCGGTAGCACCATGACAATGCTATGCATAAAAACAACAGCTGCAAGTCCCCAAGAAACGTAGCAGCACATTGATCTTTTGTCCTAAAATAGAGAAAAACACTAATACAAAAACAGCAGTGCAAATAATATCATTTTTCAGAAGTAGCAAAAGCATTTTTTCTCATTCTTCTCAAGTTTGTCGGCCTCCTGATATAAGGCCTTCTTAAAGCTTATGGCTACGGTGGCATAGCAAGTGTCCAGATCTCCTCTCAAAGTGCTTGATGCAAAATTCACAGTTTTTCGCTAGCCCTTTGGACCTGTGGCATGGCGCAAGCAAGTGCTCTTGCCAGACATCAGCATTTAAAGTTCTGGAAGATTTCAGCCACCTCCAGCCAGTTCCCGAAACAGGCCAGGCCTTGGTCTCGGATCTGCTTCCGGCCTTTGTCTGTGATGACCTGTCCGTTCTCTTTCACTATCACCAGCTTGGGGACGGCAGTGATGTTGTACCTCTTCTTGAGCTCACTGAAAGACACAAGGAGAACATAATGTTAGTACTGGCCCTGTAATTCTGCACAAGCTCCCATTAGAATGGGAAGGTGTACATAAAACACATTCATTCAAGAAACAATACATTCTTGACTGGACTTTGCTTACCAGGTCCACCACATGCCAATGCTGTAACATTTCCAAATACATGTGTTGTTAAAGCCACAATTTAATGGACAGTACAGGTCAGGCAGAGGGATATTAGCCTACTTTTACACCTAATCCTCCAAAGGGTGTTCACTAAACCTCTTACAAAGGAGACAAAGAAGGGTTAGCCTACTTTACAAATGACTAGACTTATTGTAGGCTACCTCCAGCGGATGCTATCCAGAGTAGTAACTAGATAGCTACATCTATTCAGTTTGATGGATATTTGTACTTTTAGGAGTATTTATGTTCAAGTATATTTGTAAAAAATATAACTTTTTCCTCTCAGTTTCACTGCAGTCAGCTACTTTTTTGCATTTAATTCTGTTTTGTTGACGACAGCAGCTGTGAACTGCTTTGCTGCTCTCGCTTTAGCATTTAAGAGCTGTAGCATGTAATTTAGCACTTAATTTCTGACCAAAAAGAGAAGAAAGGAGCTTAAACTTCAGGTCCTATCCTGATATATGCTGGAAGTAATAAGAAGTTTCACTGCAGTTCAATAGGGAACTCAGTAACTGAGGAGTTTTTGAACCTAATGCTTTTTTTGAAAGGTTTTTGGTGGCCACTTTTGCTTCTGCTTCAGCCTGTAAGGTAAACAGACTTTTATTTAACATAGTTTTAGGTTAGCACGGCGCATGTAACATCTGAAAACCCATCATTGCTCTTGCATGCAAATACGTGTATTCAGTACACAAACCAATAGTGTGGAGTTGAAGACGAATTCCACTGGTTTTTAATAATTTCTGCATAATTCGTAATAAATCGTTGAGATGTAAACAAAGTAGAAAAACCTACCACTTAGGATGTCTTTACAGTTGTGGTGATAGTAACTAGGGGTTGTGATGTCAAAAAATACAGGCATTTTATTTACTATCCAAAATGATCAGTGATCCTTCATGTATCTTCTGAGCTTTTATATGTAATGTTGATGATAGTACAGTAGTTATAAATCTTTAAGAACAGGCTTTCATCCTGGACTATAATTGCCTTAGAACATGTACCCCTCCACCATAAATGAATGAAAAATATTAAGTCTTGGCCAAAATCTTATCTCAAAACTACTGTAAAACAATGTCTCAGACATCAGGCAGCATATTCGCAATCATTTCATAGAATAAGTTTCTGTGAGGGAGCTTTTAAGAGGCATTAAACTCTTCAGATGTCTGGTTCCTATCACCACCACTGTGACCAATTCTGACACAGTAAGAATCTTCTACAAAGGAACATTTCACAAGGAACCACTCTGAATGACTTTGTTTAAATGTCGGCCATTCACTTATAGAGAAAGTTTTAAAATTGGGTGGAGTTCCCCTTTAACTTGCAATATCCACTCACTGTTTGTACTGGTCGGTCCAGGGCAGGGCGAGCCAGTCTCCGTGCATGTCGTGGTAATACTCCACCATGTCTTCTGTGGACTTGTCAGAGGATATAAAAACTATCTCGAGCTGTGCCGGAGGGTCGCTCTCCTCCACCAGCTCGGTGTAAAAATCACACAGCACCGGGGTGAAGTCCCGGCAGGGTGGACACCACCCGGCGGAAAAATACAGCCCCACAACTTTGTTCCGGAGAGCCTGTTCTGGGTCGACGAGGTCGCCTTCTTTGTTTATAAGTGCTCGGCCCGAGAAAACCTCCACCATACTTACCGATTGTACGCAGTAGCCCTTTCTGACGCCTTCTGACTCTGGTTAGACTAAGCTAACTGACTGTGTGTCAATAAGTCAATCAGCTGAGGCACCCAGCTCGAAATGTGGGAGCACGCTAAGCCCAGCCTGAAGAGAAACGGGGAAAAACAGACAAATACTGGCAACACTCTCAAAAGCGACTGTTTTGATCAACGGCTTTTACTTTCATTGGACGAGCAGATAAACCTGCTAAGACCCGCCTAATGCAAATGAGGTGACGCTCGACAGCACCAATGAGCACTCTCGATGATCTCCACGGCGACACGCAGTCGCCGCGGTTGCCAGTTGAGGTAAAACTCCTCAGAGAGAAGTTCTAATGCAGTTTCAGATTCTGAGAAAGGCCGTCTGGGTCAGGACTCGTTTATTTGTTTGCATAGAAAAGGCGCTGCCTGGAATGAGGGATGGAAAAAATGAACAGATTAAAATGCACATGGACTGAAAATGTGAGAGTTCTGATTTAATTAAGTCAGCCGTTATTGTATTAAAACAGTGTTGATTCGATAAAATATGAGCCATGGTTTATCATTTATCAACGAAGGGGTCTTGTATCTGGGTGGGAAATGTCAGTTATTATTTAATAAAAAGAAACGCGATGATTCATTTTAAGTATATTTTTATAATGTGATTAAATCAAATTACGATTTGATGAGAATCATTTATCCTTTGAATAACGTTTCGTTTCTTACATTATTTATCATTTAATTCCAGTTTTACTTGCCTTTACGGTTAACACGCACAGTGTGGCGTTAACCGTAATAACGCTGTTATAACTGAGTTCTGCCACACAGCTGTGTTAAATGAGGGTATAAAATCCAGAGTATGGGAGGAAAACTAGTCTATAAAATACAGGTTGCCTTGCAGCCGTTACCCATTGGTTTACAAATGCACTGGCGGTTAAGAAAAACAAACAAACAAACAAACAAACAAACAAACGTAGCTACGAAATAAGTTTTATATTAATTCGTGGCCTCGATATAGTAATTTGCAGCCTAAATATATTATTTTGTGGCCCTATTCATTTATGGCCACACCTTTTTTAAAAAATAATCACCATGTCTGTCACCTTATGGGCTCCATAAAACATAGAGGATCAGTTACCTAATATCTGTTATTATAAATGTCTATCTGCGTTTAACCACAGTCTGTATTCAGCTATCTAGCAAGTTTGTATTGTGATAACTATGCATTAGCATGCATGCTAGTTTGTATTGTAAGCATGTTAGTTAACACAGTATCATCATACTAAATAATTTGGTGGTCCATGGCTAACATCAGTGAGATTAGATGGAGAGCACTGTCATAGCAAGCTTAGTAACTCAGTGGTCTCTGTCTTATGTTTGTGAGATTATGTGGAGAGTATCATAACATGCTAAGTAACTCGCTGGTCCCTTAATATTTGTGAGATCAGGTGGAGAGTATTGTCATAGCAAGCTAAGTAACTCGGTGGTCTCTGTCTACCATTTGTGAAATTACAGTATATGTAGATCGTCATAGCAACTCTGTCGTCTCTGGCTAATGTTTGTGAGATTAGGTGGAGAGTATCTGTCACAATCTACCCCCTCCTGGGCCTGTGTGGTAGTGCACATGACCAAGCCATGTGCTTTTGTTTTCCTCTTTTCAAGCTCCACCCACTCCTCCATTACACACACCTGCACATTGTTCTCTGCTATTTGGCCCACTTTAATGAGTCTTTTCAGTCTGGGGAGACTAAAGTGGCCTTTGTGGTATGCATTTACACTGTTCGGCGCGTCGACGGACGTGAACGCGCTCCTCCTCTTCAGTTGGCCGCATCCAATTAAATCACGTCCTGCTAAGTCAAATTTTAATTAATGAATGTGCTGATTTTCTAATAATCAAAAAACAAATTTAGTATGTTATTAATTACAAATTTATATATACATATATTTAAAAATGTCTAGGTTTAAAATTGTTTGGAGCTTTTCCTCCATGCTCCACCGGAACGATTGTTTCATACATTGCATTGTGAACACTTATCGCGCAAACACCAGCTATCGTCTGATTAGATAGACCATAGACAGACATATCCAGATGCCGCGTTGGGTCCAGCCAGGCACGTCAACGGCGCCGCTATTTTAGGGCGGTCAAAATCGCTGCTGGACTGCATTCAGTACAATTACAGAGCGGCAGTTAAAGTAAGATACTGTCCAAAATTATGCTATTTCAAGAATATCGCACTCAGAAAGGGCGATAGGATTATATGACGGAGGGAACGCAGCGATCCACACTCATGTTTGTGAGACGAGTATTGTTTGTGTGATGTTTATGTGTAGATGGCCGTGTGGTTGGTGAGGCACAGAGAACCTGTTAATGGAATAGTTTTTATATTAAGCTTATTTCATCTAATAGTCTACTCAGGCGATCTTAACTTTATGTAGTAGTTATTTATTTACAATGATGGTCATTGCTTTGTAGCTAGGTAGATTATAGCATTCTTTAAAACCGTGTATTCATAATAGATTAACTTTAGCACCTTACACGAAGCTGAAGTCAGCTTCTTATTTGCCAGCTTCTTGTTCGAATTTCCACCTTAAATAATGCATCAGCCAGCATCATGTTTGAATTTTCCCGTTCCACCTTAAATGGTGCATCAGCCAGCATCATGTTTGAATTTTCCCGTTCCACCTTAAATGGTGCATCAGCCAGCTTCTTGTTCGAATTTTCCGGTTCCACCTTAAATGGTGCAACTGCAGGCACTAGAAAGTGACGGCTGCAACATTTAAGGTAGAACGGGAAAACTCGAGGAAGAAGCTGGCTGATAGGAAGCCAACTTCAGCTTCGTCCTTCTTACTGTGTTTTGGGGGGTTTATTTAATTTTTATGTGTATTAAGATTAGAAGTGATTCACACATTGATGGATTTGCTGATGTTTCTACCGGAGCTCGCGCTAAACTCGGTTTTTAACGTCAGGCGCAGACTGAATACTTTCTGCTGACCAAGACGGCTAATTAGCACGATGAGTTATTAAAGAAATAAAAGCTACCGAGAGCAGCCCGCGCAGCCTAGATTATTCTATGTCTGGGGATTATAACAAAACAGATTTGGTGAAAATCGGTTGAGTAATAAGGAAGTTGTGGCTGATTTAATCCTGAGACTCATCATCTCTCAATACATGTCAATCTGTTCACAAGCGGATCTTGACCGCTCCAACATGGCGGACGCGCAGACGTATAGCATCAGATAGAAAACAACAGGCAACGCGGCATCTAGGTATGTATATCTATAGGATAGACGCATCGCGCTGACCGGATTAATCAGTTCAGATCGGCTCAACTTTTCGCCGCACCGCATCCCCCAGACTCGCCGCACTCATCATGCACTGCGCGGCCACGTCTGACGGAACCGACACTTTCCATTGAAAACGAATGGGATACATTGCGCTGCGTCAACGCGCCGGAGCAGTGTAAATGAGCCCTTAGACTTGGAGGCTCACATGTGGGTCTCTCATAGCAAGGTGGCTCACTCACTAGAGAAATTCTGGAACTCCTTCGAGTAAAAAGGAGGAGGCTCCCCAAGAAACTGTGTGTGTGTGTGTGTTGGGGGGGGGGGGTCGATGCCTGCCTTCATCATGCCACCCTGAGCTAACATGCCTGTGGTGGCTTCCAGAACCTCCTCTCCTGTGGTGGCTCCTATAGCCACCTTCCCTGGGGTACCAATTACAACTGGAGCAGACACCTCTGGTCCCGCTCCCAGGCCTGCTCCAGTTCCTGCTCCCCGGATGGTTCCAGTTCTGGTTTTCCAAGCAGCTCCAGTGCCAGCTCCCTGGATGGTTCTAGTCCCTGCTTACTGGAGGTCTCCCGTTTCTGCGTTCTGAACGGCTCCACGCAGTGCCAGTGCCAACTCCACTCAAGGTTCCTGTCCTCCAGGCTGCTTCAGTTCTGGTTCTCCAGGCAGCTTCAGTGCCAGACCCCCATCTTGACATCGTGCTGGCTTACCGAGCTGCTGCTCAACAAGTGCTGGTTCCTTGTGCAGATCCTATGCCGACTACTCACACTGATCCAGTGCTCGCTTCCTGAGCTGCTGTACTCCAGTGCCGGTTTTCTATGCAGCTCCTGTGCCAGTTCCTGGTCCTGATCTGGTGCCGGCTTCCCAAACTGCTCCCTGTTCTGTTCTAGTGCTGGCTTCCCAAGCTGCTTCAGTGCCGGCTTTTAGGACTGCTCATTCTGTGTCGGCTTCCAGGGATGTTCCAGCGCAGGCTTTTAGGATGGCAACTCAGTGGGCTTCCCAGTGCCCCACTCAACCAGTCCACATTACTGATTCTGGTCTTACCTCTGTCCCCTCTGATGACCCTGTTGATCAACTACCTTCCCCTCTGGACTTTTTGCCGGTTATAGCCGTGCTTCCTCGCTGTCCAGGCCCACACTGTCTGAGATTTTGGTTCTGTTACCAGCTACCCCATCCTGGGCCTGTTGCTCTACCTATTCTTCCATTGCACATCTTCACATTATTCTCAGGACTAATTAACGCTGCTACATATACCCCTTTTTTCCCTGCGTGTATCAAAGTGTCCCTGTTTGTTCTGAGTTTGTTTGTATTGTTTTCCTGTTTTTGACTTTTGTTTATCTCCTGTTTTTTTGAATATGAATCTTCTCTTGTCTGCTTGGGTTTTGAGCCCTGTTTTATGGACAATGAGTACTAGACTGTCCCTAATAAAGTCATGTCGCACTTGTAACATGCCTCAGCCCCTACATTACAGTATCATCATAGCCTTCTTAATAACTCCGGTTTGTGGATAATGTTTGTGAGATTATGTGGAGAATATTGTCATAGCATGCTAAGTAACTTGGTGGTCTCCAGCTATTGTTTGTGAGGCTGTTCTAGGCTGTTGTTTAATAGCTAATGTGAGGTATCTTTATTTGAAGAGCATCGTCAAAATAATTAAATTAGTGGAAAACCAAAATTTTTTCCTCTTGTTTTTGAAATTCTGATCTACAATTCTGTTTCCAAACAGGTTGGGACGCTGTGCAAAATGTAAGTAAAAACAAAATGCAATGTGTGCAAATCATTTAAACTCTATATTTAATTGAAAATAGTACAAAGGCAACATATCATATGTTGAAACTGATAAATTTTAATGCTTTTGAAAAATAAATGTTCATTTTGAATTTGATGCCAGTAACACATTGAAAAAAAGTTGAGACAGGGGCATGTTTACCACTGTGCTGCATCACCTCTTCTTTTAAGAATTTATCCTATTTTTGCCATTT